ATATTTTATAATGATTTTGGCTCATTGTATTACACTGAAGTTTTACAGAATTTCCTCCCAATATGTGTTGGCATAATATAGAGTACCTGATTTATACAAACGTCATCTCTCTAGGGGACAGGATATTTTCTAGCCCTCTGTATCAGAGAATGAAAATTTGATGCTCCAAATCAAATCCCATCATTCACCATGGTAGCTCCAGCATAAAGTAGATACTTAACAAATAGTGAAGGAAGAAAGAAATTTCCAAATTTAAAATATAATTGTCCTGCACACCTAGGGATATTTCCAGAAATCTAGTTCTAGGAAATTACTACAACCACCCAGTCCCTGCCAATTCACCAACAGTGCTAAAGGAACCAACCTTTTAAAGTTAGAAAAGGCTGGGAGGAGGCCTTACTCCCAGAGAGGTTTAAAAGTTCAAGCAGCTTTAAATACTAAAAATTTGGTTTTGTTATGAAGTAGGGTCAAGTTTCTAAAAGTAGTTAAACAGGTTCTGATAGGCTGCTATCTGGAAGTGTATCTGAGTGTGCTGGAACCTATCTGGACATGATGCTTGCTTTCCCTTCTGGAAGCAGCATTTAAAGCAACTCTCATTGGCCGGTATCATATGATGCACCCAGCAGTTCCAGCTGAATCCAGTTTAAAATGCCCGTTCATGGGCATCTGGATGGCTCAGAGGGTTAAGCATTCCACTCTTGATTTTGGCTTGGGTCATGAGCTCACAGTTCATGATATGAAGTCCTGTATCAGGCTCTGTGCTAAGGGTGCAGAGCCTGCTTGGGATTCTCTCTGCCCCTCCCCTACTGGCATGTCTTCTCTCTCTCTCTCTCTCTCTCTCTTTCTCAAAAATAAATAAACTTTAAAAAATAAAATAAAATGCCTGTTCACAGGCTCAAGGAAACCTAAGTCTTGCCAGAGTCACAGCTGATGCTCCAAAAAGCATTCTCCCCAAAAAAGCATCAGAAGGAGAAATGGCTATCGTTTATCTGTGTTGTTGGAAGGGCCAAGGAGGAGAGTAAGTAGGAAGCTGATCAGAGGACACAGAGAAAGGGAAAACAATTTCCACTGCACTGAAGCAATTAGATGAAAATATGCTGTAAACCAATGGGCTCTTCCTGCTTCTGGGGGTTGGGAGGAGAACTGGAGTGGGGGCTGCAAGAGCCTACTCTTTCCGGAGACATTCTTTGAAATTCTGCTCCCAGCCCCTCGGGCTCCACTGTCACCTACTTGAGGCATTTCCCCTCCAAGATGGGAGGCCCACCACTTTGCTCTCATTTAAAAAACAGATCTTGAATTAGAGGAGGAATTTTAAGGCCAATGCTTTCAAAAACTTAAAGAATGAAATATTGTAGACCTTTTATGAATCGCCTGCAAGTTATGTGTTTTGATACTATTTACTGAGCAATGTGTGCATTTTTATTTGACTAAATCTAGTTATATCCACTTTCTGACACTTAAGGGTGCATTAAAAAAATAATAGATTAGTAAGGGAATGACATAAAACTGTTACTTTTTACTTAGAATATCCCATCTCTCTGAAAACTAATACGTTTTCAATCTTACCTGATTTAAAAAGTATGTAATTTTAAATTTTTTGGTGTTTAAAAGAATGTTTTCCATTGGCAAGAGCCTATTATTAGCATTAACTAATAAAAACACACGAAACATGCCATTTCTCACTAAGATGATATTCAAAGTTGCTCTCACCCCAGCAAAAAAAAAAAAAAAGGGAAAATGACATACTATACTTTTGCTTGGGATCCCTAGCTCTCTCTCCTCCAGATTCCTCACATCTCATAAAGGCCCTTTATTGCTGGTGCAATGTTATACACTTAGGAAATGGATGAGCATGTACCTAGGGTATTTTTTTCCGTTTGTTTTCTCTTCCAGCATTTGATCACTGGCTGGTGAACTGTTTGGGCCCACAGAGATCTCTAGACCACCAGCTCATGTATTTGAAAGGCATCTGTTTATTTTGAAAATGCAAATGTGGCCTACCTCAAAGACTGACAGGCAAGAAATGACCCACTGAGCAAGGGGAGAGGTTTCCAATCTGGAGCCCTGTCCCTCCCTCTACCATACCGAGATCACTCGCTGTCAAAACCACTTAAACAAGCTCCGGGAATCTGAGTGAAGGGCCCACAATTAAAATGAACAGACTCGTGTGTGTGTGTGTGTGTGTGTGTGTGTGTGTGTGTGTGTGTGTTGTGTGTGTGTATCCCCTTCCCTCCTTCCCTCTCTCTCTTTCAAGAATTAGCCAGGCAGATCATTTCTCACCTAGTTTAAAGTAATGATGAGGTCAGTTACAAAACGACGCTGTACCTTTGAAATGGTGGCTCCTAGACCGAGGGCTTCCTGGAGGAGGGCCCTATAACAGGGACACTGGCCTCTTAGTAGCAGCCCGGTCCTGGGGACGGATTCCCAGAGAAAGCCCAGGAAGGTTAATACCCCGACTTTGATCTCTGTGAAGGCATACCAGCAAGAATTAATTTACATTTCAGATGAAAAAGGTTGACAGCATGAAAAGGCATCTTGTTTCTGGTATGTGAATGTGCCGTAATAGATCGGGAATTCTGAAAGGAAGTTCTGAGGAAGCTAAAGGGATAAGCTGTGCGGCTGCTTTTATTGGGAAGGAGATGAAAGGCAAACAAATTTCAATATGCGCTGGTCTGTAGCAACATGTAGGCCAAATGCTTCCTAAATTTCAAGGGCTGCTCTTTTAAATATATATAACAAATCTTAGCAACACTACCCACAAAAAAATGCTATGGGCCAGAACTTGAAATACAAAGAAATGCATTCCATAGAATCTAAATTTCCAATGAAATGATTTGTTGAAAAAAAAATTAGAGAATAAGTTTCAAAAACCATCAGAATGGCTGTCTATGATAACATCTCTAAGTCACTTCCTGCAGGCTTCACAAGTAAGGGAAGCACTATGTCTGGGGCTTGTTCTGCCCAGAAATATTCTCGTGGGGTGAAGAAGAGCTTGTAATGAGAAGGTTATGCTTTGAGAAGAACACACCCCAAAACAGAGAAGTTAGAAGGAGTTGGCTTTGCTTTTTAGATCAACACAACCATGGCTTCCGATATAAAGATACGGAAAACATTCTCAAGTAAAAGTAAACTGCCAATAAAACTGCAAATGCTGTTACCCTCCCCATGCATCTTTTCTGCTAACTCAAAACCAGCACCTTGATTCCTGTGTTGGCTGAAGGGCAAAGGGACTCTGCCTGCTTTTGCTCTGGCTGCCACATGACTTCTAAGAGGGAGGGGTGGCTTGAGTACCACTCTCAACATCCTCATGTCTGCCAAAGTCCCTGGAGACTCCCGATGCCACCTGATACGGAGGAACACTAGTTGCCAGGCTAAAAAATGGGGTGATTGCAAAGCTTTAAAAACACAGAAGTACCTTAAAGAGATGTGTTCTCTCTGGTTCCACCAAACAAAATTATCCTTCCATGGCACCTACCGCACTGGTGCTCTACTGGAACGATGCAATCATGACTGACCTGATCCGGTGATGAAGCAAACTTGTCTGTGTTTTCATGCAGCCCTTACTTGGCAATAACACAGTGCAAACAGGGAAGCCCGTAAAGATCGTTTTCAGAGAGGGAAAATTTGATTTATGATCCTACACACTGGACTCAGTGGATCAACAATATATACCCCAAGTTTATATTTTAAAACATATGTTGGGCTTTGGGCCAAACTGCAGGATCTGAAATCAGTCCAGGAGACTTTGGGGGGTGGGGTGGAGACGGGTGTGTGTGGTGTGGTGAGTGGAGGTGGGCAATAGGGAACAAATGCACTTTGAGTTGTTTTTCTTAAGTTGCAACTACAATTGCATCCTTCTTCCTGAACTCTTTGAAGTTGTAGAGCTTAAAACTCCTAGGGGATGGTGTTAAAAGCTGCACATTTGCATTTAAATGATGCCCCCTTCTTTCCAAATATTTTGGTTCTGAATGAAGATGTCTGGCCTCTACAGTGGCCTAAGAGAGTTCTGACAAGTGTTCCTGGAGTCAGGCTCTGGGCAGGACCATCTCAAAAAGATTGCAGCTGTTTTACTAAGGAGTTTGCTTCAAGGCAACAGGATCTGAAACCTTATCCTTTGAGCCTGTGGAGTCCACTGGACTAGCCCCTTCTCTCTCATTCTGTCTCCACTGTCAGAGCTCCAGGCATGCTGGAGCATACTTCTTCCAGAGCCTCCTTTAGATTATAGAAATTCAAATGATGAAGGGAACCCAGCCTGGAAGCCACCGTGGATATTGCCATTTGCAGAAGAACAGAGCCATCCAGGAGCCAGGGGCAGGTCAGACGAGCCAGGAAGCAGAGCTCAGAGCACTCATGCAGCCAGGCCAAGTTGAGCCACAGCTTACCCTGGGGTGGGGGTGGGGGGTGGTGCAGAGGACCACCCTAGTCACAAACAGACCAGGGTGTGGGAAATTCCATTTGCTGGGAAAGTCCCTGAGCTATTCTTATCTCTGTGATGCTGAAAGATGGGCCTTGCATATAATCAGAGAAATTCCAAGGTAATTAGACACCTTCCAGACTTAACCAGACTTTAGCCAGTGCTCTCCTTTCACAGACGATGGACATGTGACTCCAAGAAGGAAAGGAATTTGTTCAGCTGGCAGTATGTAAAGTTGACTGTGTCCAATCTGCCTGTGTTCAAATGCTGACTCTGCTCCTGACTAGCCATGTGACTATGGACACGTTACTTCACTTCTCTGTGCCGCAGGGCCCCTCTCTATAAACCAGGACTTACTTTGAGCATCTTTCCACAAGTATGCAGTAAGTGCTCACTGTCAGCCTTGCCATCATCACGCAGGGGGTGTGTCAGAACAAGGACTAGAACCCCCACTAGGACTTTACCTTCTATTCCGGTGCTCCTGAATTATTAACCTTTCAGCTTTCCTAAACTCATATGAACTTAATCACAGAATATTTTCAAGTGGACGCTATGAAAATGATGTTTTAATTACCTGCTTGAATACGAACCGCAGACTCACTCCTTCTGTTGCTTATTTTCTTAAATTTCCTCCGAGCATCATATCCTCTCCAGGCTAAAAATATAAAACCATGTGCTAGGAATGACATTAATTTAAGAACGTGCCAGAGAACTGATATAAGCTGTTTTCCCTCCAATCTATTACCCCTCTTCTCCTCCCTCCTGCTTTCTCCCTGAACAAAATGAGCAGAGATACGTGAGCGATGATGGGGGAAGAGAGGCCTCTCTGTACTCTTAGCTTGGCTTCCAAGATGCTTCTGAGAAGGAGTTATTTTTGCTCCAGCAGTGAGTTTCCAGAACACTGGAATCTACTTATGAATCACTGGGACCTCCATCCCAGCTGAGGTGGTTCCCTGTCATTCCAACCCACAGAGGAAGCTTCATTTTCAGGACTTGGGGTAGGGTGGTTTGTTGAGATGGTGGGAAAGAACTGAACAGCCTGCCCTGACCAATTTTTTTTTACTGGGGAGGAAGGTATGAACATCAATTTGAAGGAGTGAAAAATAACGATGGGAGTCAAGGGGAATAATTAGTAGCATGACACGTGTGTTCGGGGAGAGTGAACCATGTGCTAAGTACAGTGCTTCGAGAGAAGAAAATAGACGGTAGAAAGGCAAAAGGCAAAAGAAATGGATGAGGATAAGAGAAAGAGAAAGGAAACCTCTGGGGATGTGCTGAGTCCTGTAGAAAGAGGACTGGGGCATTCAGCTGCCCGCCAGGAGCATGACCACTTCACCGTTTTGTCCCTCCTGTTAGCATCACAGGCTTCGGTGTTGCTGAGTGTGGTCGTGAAGTCCAGAGTGAACGACATGATTCTGGGTTATGAGGGCACAAGGGAAACTGTCCACTATGTACAAGATCTGACGCTTTCATAACCACTCAGCAACAGCACAGGAGCTCAGATGCTGTTTGTAACACAAATGACACACACATGTGGAAAAAGACACTGGATGGGCTGGGCGTAGGGGAGAGCCGAGCAATTTGTTCCCTAGGTTTATAAGCTTTGTCTGGGTCATCTGGGAGAAGGGGCACATGTCCGTGTGATCTGGGTTTTACCTTTTCCCACTTCACACTGCCTCTATCTTGCACTTATCACGGTGTGTTGTGACGTCTGTTTGCTTATGTGGAGGTCGGAGACCATGGTAGTCTTGCTCATGGCTAGATTCCCAGCATCTAGCCCAGGGACTGGTCTGTAATAGGCACTCAATAAATATTTGCTGAAGCAAGGAAGAAAGGAAAGAAGGGAAGGGAAGGGAAGGTAGGAGGAAGAGAAGAAGCCACTGAGAAAAGCAACAGGCGAGCGGCCTGAGTGCTTGATGAAATGCCAAGATTCAGGACCATTTATTTACCTGACTGGATGGCAATGGCCCCCTTCTCTCTCTTCTCTCTGACTCTTCTGTATCTCCTGGCTCCAAGCCACCCCTTGGCATATGCCTGCAGCACCACCACTCTGCCTATGACTTCTCGTAGCAGCAAATTCAACTGCTCAACATGGTAATATTTGAGAAAAACCTGAAATGAGATATTACTTTTAGCATTAAATATGGGCTCCCGAACAGCTATCCATTCTACTCCAGAGTATTCTTAATAAAAATATTAAAACCATTATCTAAATAAGTTTACAGTGACGTGTTTTATGCCAGTATTACTGACTGCTTAGGAGCAAACCAACTCCCCTTCTAAGGTTGAGCCAATTCTTGGTTATTGACGTGAACAAACAATGAGGTTAATGGGGTTTAGGAGATTCCAAATGTTCTCCAAAAGTGCCTTATATCTGCCAGGAGTTCTATATTCTCAATTTGACTTCTACTATCTGTCTCTACAGCCCTTGATAGAGGCACTAACCAACAGAACTGACCCATGGCCAGCAGTGGAAGTTTGGGAGAAGGACGTACAGGACCCACAGTGATCTAATTCCTGCTGAGGAGCAACCGTGTTGTCATCAACACTCAGGCTGCCACTGGCTTTGTAGGACAATTCAGAATGGGTCATAAAAACCTGGGATGCAGCGACAGGATGTTCCAGATGAAAAGCTATACACAATGGGACTACTAATCAGGGTATACAGTAAAAAACACAGCAAGAGTCTAATGAAAAATGGACAAAACTGTAAAAGATACTTTTTATTGTCATTAATAAGATTTGTGTATTTCCATGAGGTGCTGGGATAAACAGCATTTAAATTAGAGGGACATTTTAAAATGAGCTCAAAGTTCTCATTCTAAAAATGTTAAATGGTTCTCTCAAATTACATGCAGAACAGGAGGCAAACCCTCCTCTTCTTGTCCAGAGGTCCTAGGACCACTCCTGACCCAAGACCAGCGAAGATCACTGTTAGGCTGGGGTCTTGCCTGCTAAGCTACACAATGTACAGAGCCGGTCATATCACTGACAACAGACAAAGGTACACAGTAGAGCATCACAGATGACAATGTGAACAATAAAGAAAGAACTACCTTTGTTTTTCCCAGCACCCAGTGATCTAATCTGGACTTTTCCAAGATAGCAACACAGCTCTCTTTGCTAGCAACAGGTGTTTCATGTGCTTTGAATGCCAAGTAATAATACCTACAAAATAAAAGAGTAAAATAAAACATTTTTAGTTATCATTTGATACAGTATAGGACCTACTGTCCAATAATAGTACACTTGGTAGTGAGAGGTATACAACTTATACATATTAACTTAGCTCTTACTTGCTTTTAAATTTTCTGCTACATGTATTTCCCTTTTAATATTGCTTTATAATTCATATTCAGTGGAATACTTGGCATCTTTTGCATGTAAAATCAAAGTATCTAATCCAGTTTTCTTAAGAAAACTGAAATTCAGACAGCTCTTCTAGGGAAAGTCATCATTTTAAATGTTAGCATTATTACAATATAATTTGTAATCCCACTGTATAAATTCTGACTCTACCTTGAAATGTTCCCTCTGAAGCTATTTGTAGATAGCAAAAATGAAGTAGCCTAATACTATTGAATTGGTCCACTGAGCCACATGTCTCTCTCAAAATACAGAGTAGGCATATTTTTTGATATAATCACCAAAACCACATTTGTCTTCCTAAAAAACTCATTTTAACGAACTTCCATACTTTCTGGTTGGATTCAAAGAACACCCACAAAAGGGTTTTTCCCCCTCTCCTTTTTTCTCCCCATCAAAACACACACACACACACACACACACACACAAATATTTTATTCGTTTAGAACACCTTACCTTAGTTTTTCTCTAAAAATTTTCCAGGGATCTTTCCTCTGCTCTTTGCTGCCATCTATAATTAAATTCAACCCCTTGGAAGTTTAATTTCCTTGTCAAAGGAGTTCCCTGCCATTCCTCAGACAAGGTTGATCTGTTATTTTGGAATTACTATACTTTTAAATATAGAGCTATTTTTACTTTTTAAGAAAAATTGCCCAAATACAAAATATGACCCTTCCTCTTGCCAGATATTCCACATCTTTCTGTTTATGGAAAAATAAACATACCTGATTAGCACTTGGGTCATTTAACTTTATCTCTGTGCTACAAGACTGTTTTACAAGTTAGGATATAATGTTGAATTTGCTGGAAACATTTGCATTCAGAGATCCTGGGAATGTTTCCAAGGCTCTGAGTCTCTGTTTCTACCATCAGGAAGGAGGGGCAGTGCTCTCAAAGAACCCCTGAATGATGGCCAGGACTATGCTAGGTCATTTAGCCAAGCCCAGGAACCTGCTCATAGATGACATCTTCTGGGGCCAAGTGGGAGGAGGGACAGCTGGGAATCAGGATTAGGGCTATCAGGGCAGTTCATGGCATTAGCACATTAGCCTCAGTTTCTTTAGGACTATAGTTTCAGTCATGGCTTCTCTGACCTGGCTCTAGTCAAAGCAAAATGTTTGTGTCCTGGAGTACACGGGGATGGTGGGAATAGATGGCAAATCTATATGGGTGAATGTTTGGGGAAAGCTGAAATACAAATAGCATGAGGTATATAAGTCAGTGGTAAAACAAGGATTTCCTACACTCTTTCCATTAGGCCCGGCCATTTATAACACAAACAACCCTGGCTTTAATCAACCCAGGGTTAATACTATTAATGATGAAGTATTTAAAGAGAATCTAATGAACGATCAGTCCCGTGTGAGATATGGGAAGAATGTAAGGTATGTTCCAGCTCTCCAATCAAGGATTTATACTTGTTTTCCAGGCATCTATAGATGGTTCTTAGCAGTTTCTAATTTTTAAATAGGCAGAATGAATCCTGAACTAGCATAAATATTAGAACTCAGCTTTGATTTCTGGTCCTTCAACCCAATCTCTTAATTTATTATGATACTAATATTCATATTTGGCTTAGTTCAGAAAGAGATGGGTAACAGTACTACAAAGAAGTGAAAGTTTCAAAAAAAATACTAAAAAAACCATGTAAGTGATATGTCTGTAATAATCAGGTCAGATAAGTACAATGTGTATTTCCTCCATGGAATAATTCTGGATTCTGGTAGGTACCATGGTAAAGAAGCACTCTGGCAGAGCTCCTGTGTTCTTCCATATAAGGACAAAACAGAAAGTAACCAATATAAAAGATCTGTCAGCAAGAGGGGTCTTTTTTGGGAAGATCTATTCCAGACCCCCTTCCCGAAGCAGTTGGATGAGTTAAATGAACAGGGGATATGCAATTGCAAAATAGTAAGTATAAAGGTCCTAAGGGTCTGGGTACTTGAGAGCATTGCAAAGACCAGTTCTGCCCTGAGCTGCCTCTTGTAGGTAGAATTTACCTCTCAGATTGGAGTCTGAACACTGAATTAAGAGTAAGAAGATCTCTGTTGGGTAACTGTAAATCACTTTTCTGTACCTGAATTCTCACAGGTGGGAATGGGAAGCAGATAAGTGGTTCTAAATTCTTTTTGGGGGCAGGAATCTCTGAAAATCTGGAGAAAGGTATTCATATTCCTTCTCAAGAAAATGTTCTTAACGTATTGCATATAAAGTCAAAAGGTACACATAGCTCCTGTTGGACCTCCAAAGACTAAAGAGCCCTTTCCTACTTTAGAACTCTATGGAAAGTCTTCCCAAGGTCTCATCTCATTAAAACATATAAGCTGTTAAAACAGTAAATATCCAGTTGAAAAATATTTCTTCTCAAATATGTTATCTAGTTTTCTGCCTAAAATGGTATATGGAATGAAGACTCTTCAAGGAAGAGTTTTTAAATGTAACAGGCTAAGCGGTTGTCAAGTATTAGTAAAAGTAACAGGCAATTAGAGATACAGCCTCCTGCATTTAAATTATAGAATCATAAACTGGAAGTATCTGTAAGATACTAGGACATATTAGTTTTCTATTGCTACACAACAAATTACTCCAAAATTTAATGCCTTAAAACAGACATTTGTCATCGTATGTTTTGTAAGCGTTTGGAATTTAGGAGGAGCTTACCTGGGCAATTCTGGCCCAGGGTCTCTCATGAGATTACAGTTGAGATGTCAGCCATGGCTGCAGTCATCTAAAGACTTGCCTAGGGCCACATGATTTATTTTCAAGATGGTGCACTCACATGGCTGATGGTAGAAAGCTTCAGTTCCCTACTGGCTGTTGGCAGGAGGCCTTGGTTCCCTGCCACATGGGCCTCTTCAGAGGACAGTCTGAGTATCTTTATAACATAGAAGATGGTTTCCCTCAGAAGCAGGGATCCCAGGGAGAAAGAGAGAGAGAGAGAGAGAGAGAGAGGGAGAGAGAGCGCACTAGTGAACGGGAGGGAACCCATAATGCCTTTAATGACCAAGGCCTAGAAGTGACATACCATCACTTACTTCATCTTCTATGCACTAGAAACAAGTCATGTAAATCCAGACCAAATTCAATGAGAGAAAAATTAAGTTCTACCTCCTGAAGGCAGGAGTATCAAGTAATTTGTGAACATGTTTTTAAACCATCACAAAGAATCTCTCTAGATCATTAAATATCTTACTGACACAGAAAACTGTTCTTGGTGAGATGAAATGACTTGTCCAAGAGGACATCAAGTAAATGACAAAGGCTAAGATTATTATTTAAATCTCTAAACCACCATGTAATTGATTTAAAAAAAAAAAGCAATATGAATCCAGCTAATAAAGTTTAGGGTTTTTTTTAAATATTTTTTTATTTGTATTTATTTTTTGAGAGAAAGAGCATGAGCAGGGAAAGGGCAAAAAGAGAGGAGGACAGAGGATCCGAAATGGGCTCTGTGCTGACAGGCTGACAGCAGCAAGCCTGACATGGGGCTTGAACTCAGGAACCGTAAGATCACAACCTGAGTCAAAGTCTGATGCTCAGACTGAGCCACTCAGAGGCCCCTAAAGTTGTTTCCAATGTAAGAGAGAGAAACAAAAAAGAGTAAAGGTAATATCATTTCTCACCAGAACATACTGACAAATTTGCCTACATAAAAATAAAAATTTTCTATATATATAAAAAAAGAAAACTTGGGAAGAATTGGTCTTCTTTAGTTTGTCTATCTAGGTACAATGGTTTTTTTCATACTATAATCATGCTCTCTACAGAGCTATCCCCAACAAAAGTTATTGTTAGGAATGTAGGTGTATCCACCACCAAATCAATGGTAGTGCATTTCTTAGGCTGACCTCCAAAGCCTATTTAACCTATTTAATTTGAATAGTACCTTTGAGGCAAACAGGGGCTTCTATTTTTCTTCATTTCTCCTTTCTTATACTCTTCAGTACAGGTTGATAAAGTCTTTGGTAAGACAGAGTAAAGAAACAGAGACTATTAAAGTTGTCCTATGAGAACTGGTCCATCTCAGTAAGAGGAAGGCATTTTAGTTTTGTTTGTGTTCCACTTAGGAAAGTGTGAGAGACTTATGTCTAAGAAACTGTAATGACCAAACACTGTCCTTCCAGGGCGGAGCCAGTAACAAAGCCTATAAAATCCCTAAGAACTTCTAGGCTTCCCTCAGAGGAAGCAGGACCCTCCAGGAGGGGGACTAAGGGTACTATAAAGAGGGAGTGAAGATGAAAAGTGTCCCTGGACTTCACTCAAGATGAGCTCTGGGTCTACTAAAAGAAACCTTAATTGCAAAGAAAAGAAAAGAAATATTTAGAAATTTTGGAGTTTTTGAATATTCCAAATCAGCTGCCAGTGAGGCTATTTTCTTTCTTATAAAGAGCTAGACTTGAACTCTTCCAGACACAATGCAGGCAGAACTGACAGCTTACATCTGACCAATCATATTTCAAAGCCTACCACCACGTGTTGGAGACACCAAGGCCCTAGAGTATGTAGGACAGAGTACTAGTCGAGAGCTACATCTGGACATCGGCGGAAGGCCTCTCAGGTATTCAGCAGAGTAACTGATTAGCACCTGCATGGGAAGAAACTACTCAAGGCTGGGCAAAGAACCATCTAAGAAGACTAGAGGGAATAGTGCCTGATTCTTACAGAGGGCTGAGAATAGTGCTTGTTTCTACCAGCCAGACTGATCAACCTCATAATTCATAGGACAATGGATAGAGGACTCAGTAGTGTCTTGCTTCGGAAGTGGGGAAATATTAGTGCTAAACACAGCTCTGCTTTACCTA